ATATATAAAAATAAAATATTATTTTATTTAAAATGTTTTTATGACGGACTTCCCTGGTGGTGCAGTGATTAAGAGTCCGCCTGCTAATGCAGGGGACACGGGTTTGATCCTTGGTCCAGGAAGATCCCACATGCCGCGGAGCAACTAAGCCTGTGTGCCACAACTACTGAGCTGTGCACCACAACTACTGAAGCCCACGCACCTAGAGCCCATGCTCTGCTACAAGAGAAGCCACTGCAACGAGAAGCCTGTGCACCACAACGAAGAGTAGCCCCCGCTCGCCGCAACTAGAGAAAGACGCAGCAACCTGCTACAAGAGAAGCCACTGCAACGAGAAGCCTGTGCACCACAACGAAGAGTAGCCCCCGCTCGCCGCAACTAGAGAAAGCCCGCACGCAGCAACGAAGACCCAACGCAGCCAAAAATAAATAAATTTATTTTAAAGAATAAATTAATTAATTAAAAAAAAGAAATAGAATATTTTTATGAGGGAAGAGAAGTGTGCTTATTGAGATCATGCCTTTTCCATATGGTAATTGAATTAGTCTTCTCCAAGTTATAATTGCCCAAGTGCTGAAAACTGTATATACCTCATTAAATCTTGTCCTTCTAATCCAGGTGGAGATGCTCACCGAAACCCCCCTGCCTGCAGGACCCAGAACCACCTTGCAGTGGGCGTGTGGCTTTTGTCTGGCAGGCATCATGGGTGAAGAACCATCCTTCACCATAGCCTGCCCTGAACTTTTAGCTCTAGGGTGAAAAAGTGACCCAAGAGAGGCTGGTCAGCATTCTTCCTGCCCCTGGTTTGTCTAGGGATAGGGATTTGGACCGAGCAGGACCAATCTGACGATTTCCCTGAGCTGTTGCTGGAACTATGAGGAAAAAAAACTTTATTTTCTCTCGGGAGTGCCGGCTGTGAGAAGCAAGCAGCTGGAGCTACTCCTGAGCCTCTCTGACACCATGTGGGGAGGACCAAACTGAATAAAGTCAACCCAGTGACAGGCAGACAGACAGACAGAGTGACCAGTTCAGACCAAACTGGGACTTCCCTGGCTTTAGCATGGAAGGTCCCATGCCCAAGATCCCCCTCAGACCTGGGCACACAGGGACGGTTGGTCACTTCACAGAGACAAAGAGTCCCGTATATACCGTTCCAAGCCTTGATCCAGCTTTACTCGGACGCCCTCCTTGGGCACCTCAATTCTATGACCCAGTAAGTTCTGGGGTCTGTTTAAGCAACTCTGAGTTGTGTTTCTGTCACATGCAACTCAAAGAGTCATAACACGTGTGCCCAAAGAATGTCCACATATAAGGCACAAAGTTAAAAAAGCAAAAGAAATCAAAGTAGGAAACAAGCTATTTTTAGCATTGAAACATGAGGAAATGTGATCATGTGGTCCTTTCTGAAGTTGAGGTAATTTATTTGACAAAGGGGCTCCAAAAAAAAAAAAAAAAAAAAAGAAGTATACAAAATGGAAAAAAGAAGAGGCAAATGAAAACATTCTTACGGAACAAAAACCTCATGGCATGAGAAAGGTCAGAGAAACGCATGAGCAAAAATCCAAAAGAACAAGCTTAGGCAGCGAGGGGGAAAAAAGGAGCTGAAGTCAAAGCTTGGAGCAGTTTTGCCTTTTCTTTAGAGACAGACCCACCGTAAAGTGGGACAAGAAGACAAGTGAGCCACGGAAGTGGACTGAAAAAACTGGACCAGCAGAGGCTTCTGCAGATCCTCAACAATTCCACAAGACTTAAAGCAAAACATCTCAGTGGTCTCTGGCACTCCGCCCTGGGGCAGGTAGGCCAAAGCAAATGCTATGGGAATAACCAGAAAACCTAGAGGAAATGAGCTTTTCTTAAGGTGACATACAGCAGTGATTACAAAGACTGGAGAAGTTAGAAAACCTCAGCGTGCACCAGAATTCGTACAGCGTGCATATGACAGAGCCGCACGCTGACCCTAACCCTAACCCTCAAGCGCTATAGGATGAGTGAGAGAAATTTGCGCTCCAGAAGGGTTTCCTTTGAGAATATGGCCAGAAGGGAGAAATCTAGACAATCCATCTGTACACAGACACACAGGATGGAATGATAACCACTCTTTCTGGCCTTCCCTGAAGAAAGATGTGAGACTGGGGCCCCCAAGGGACATGGCCCGGCACCACTTCTATATCTAATGCAGTTTGGAAAACACTTAAGTGTTGAAAACCAAGAGAGAAGTCATTTTCTCAGTAGAAAGACAACTTAAAAAAAAAAACAACAGTGTGAAGATATGTGATTTAGTCTTACCTCTATGAGTATACTTTCTATTGAGTCTCTACTTATTTATTTGCCGTGCAGCAAGGCATGTGGGATCTCACTTCCCCAGTCAGGGATCAGACCCGCACCTCCTGCAGTGGAAGCACGGAGTCCGATCCACTGGACCGCCAAGGAATTCCCGAGTCTCACTGATTTTAAACTATTCTCATTTTGTTATCTGATATCACCTAGTAACAGGGTACCAATCAGGTTCTTGGTCCTGGTCCTCTTGTGGGTGTTTCAGGGAGCCTGATATGACTGTGCAGGGTCTAACACAAACACTTTAATTTAGGATGTTTAGGATAAAAACAGAACAGAACTTTGAGGGAGGCAAGGAACTGCACCATCTGAACTCGCACATTTGCGAAAATGTTTACGCTGTATTTACCGAAGGACTTTTCCCCTTAAAACATGACACTGAAAACAGAAGACGTGATATGGTAAAAGGCTGTCTGGTAATAAAGGACCAGATTCACGCACCAAACCCTAAATCACAAAGAGTGCTCAAGTGGAAAACCACTGGAGGGACTGGAGCATGTGACTGAATTCTGTATCGCCTTTGAAGATGGGGAGGTCCATCACTGGGGCTAGAGCATGTGATGGCTTGTTTTCTTTAAATCACTTGTAATTCAGGAAGGGCCCACCTACAAGCAGGGTATCTTCCTGCTTGCTCCCTGAACCAGGATGCCATCTGGAATGTAACAGAGGAAGGAGACAAGACGCTAGGAAATGTCACGTTATCCTGAAAAACATCCCTACCAGAATCAGACCACTGAGTTCTCTCAGCAGAGCTCTCATCTCCAATTTCCTGCAGGGGTAATGAAAGGCATTTGCCAAGGCTAAGGGGCAACAAGATTGATGGAGTCTAGACTCACCTCTATGGGTATACTTTCTATTGAGTCTCACTTTATTTATTTATTTATTTATCAATAAAGGCATTTTGGCCTTTCTACAAATTCTCGACAGCTGCCTGCTAGGTGTTTATGTGGTTCTGGGTACTGTGTCCTCTGCAAAGAAAGGCATATGTAGGAACGAAGAGGATCTTGCCTCCTGGGGCCCTTAGTTTGTAGCTGGGGAGATTGGAGATTCCAAGAGGCTATTTATATGGGGTCATACTGTCGCTGAGAGAGGTTAGAAGCCAGCGAGTCACCCCACAAACCTACAGCAAAAATGGTCTCGTCTCCTGCCTTGTCTATTTCACCAGGGCTGGAAAGGAGAAGGGGGTAAGGGAAAAAAAATGGGGGATAAGAGATTATTTTTCCTCGATTTTGTTAAATTGATTTGACATTGATAAGACTGACCATCCTTCTGCAAACCAAACAGACATTTAACACTAACGCAAACCCATGTTTTTCTTTTTTTAAGAAACGACAATTCAGGCTTTTGTGAAGTTACGAACTGCCTTCATTTTAGTATGATATCTATGGAACCACCAGGCTAGTATCAAATCTTTATAAATCCTAAGGGAATAGTGAAAATAGAAAGGGAATAAATATTTAAATATGAAAATCTGCCTCTAATTACCTAATGCTCACCGATTAGATGCCAATGATGGAAACAACAGATAAAAGGTGAAAAGATGGCCATAGGAAGAGGGAGGTCAAGAAAGAGAGCTTGCACAGTGCGAGAGCAAGCCCTATTCACCAGGCCAGTCACCCTGGGATTCAGAGACCAAACACGGTATTTTCCAGAGAACGCTGGCATGTTTATCGCCCAGCAGGCCCCACCCTGCAGCCTGAGAGCACCTACCAGTGTTTCCAACTTGGCAACCCCCCAAAAACCAGAACAATGATTGCTTTTCTCCTGCTATAATAATGCTGTCGAGTTCATCAGAGATCCATTTTGTACTTTCATTGAGTCCAAAGCATGCTGTTTCCTTCAGAAGAAACCCTATCACGTTTTATATAGTTTTAAAAATAATTGATCTGGTCCGTTAGTACAGATAGAAGTGTTTTGATGAAAAAGGAAGGAGCTTCTCCTCGAATCTCATTACTTATCTGAAGTTAAAATATATATATTTTTAAAACTTTACACCTGTGGTATAGTACATGCATGAGTCTAAGTATTTCTCTGCTAATGGGGTCTTAGGGAGACAGCTGTGATGCCACAGTAAAGTTTCATGCTTTGCCACTCATTCATTCATTTTTATTGAGCATGTGCTATGTGTTCTACGCATGGAGGATACAGCAGTTAACAAGACAGAAAATGACCCAACTTCACGGAGCTAATACAGAGGAGGCCAAGAACAAATCCATGCAAGTAAGTAGATAGGATATTCCAGATGATAATAAACTCTTTGAAGGAAAAAGGTGGGGTGGTCAGCTCAGCTTCTCTGAGCTGATGACCTCTGGCTGATAAGAGGGAGCCTGTGAAGGTCTGGGGGTAGGCAGGGAGTGGCCAAGGCAATGGCCCTGGGGTTACAGCAAGTCTGACAAATTTAGGGGAAAGAAAGAACACCAGTGGGGATGGAGAACCATAATACCGATTGTGGTTAAAGATTTAATAAGATGATGAATGCAAAAGAACACGATGAACTGCAAAGCAATACCACTAAAAGGTATTATTTGGCTTGGTTAGAATACTGTATTCTAAAGAACATCATTCTTTAGATGTTTAGAGTTTATAAAGGATGCAGGTGAAAACTATATATTTCAGTTTTCATCTTCTACTTCTAATAAAAAGGAGCTGGCTCTCGAAAAGCCCTTTCAAGTATGGCACGTTGCCTTCACGTGAAATAGGAAATCCCACATACCTGGAATCCTATTAAGCGTCACCCAGAAATGTTCATCCGGGCTGAAGGTGTCTTTGGACCACTGGAGCAAGTCAAGAGCCCGTGGGTCATGGAGAACAAAGTTGGTGAACTCTCTTGACAGGGCAACGTAGGCAGAACCAAAGTAAATGGTGAGATTGTGGGGAGGAGGCGGTTTCAGTGCTGGGGTTCTTATCATATAGGAAAGCTCTTTGCCCAGGTGCTCTCGGTGGACATATTTAGTCCGTCCAATTGCGTGAGCTGGAGGCAGCACCCCTGGTGTGATGTTTTTCCCTTTAAATCCTTTCAGATACTGAACTATCTCCCTGTTGGTTTTCAGGGGGAAATCTTGCCCACAGGTGTTGATGGCGTATTTCCACGGAACCTCCAAGGCTGCAAGATCTTTGATGCAGTGCAGGTCAGCCTGGAGCCTGGAAATCCCACCATACACCACGGGTTCCATCTTGGAAGCCAGAAAAGCATTCGGGAAGCAGCTCAGTAATTGCTCCACTGCATCTTTAAATTCAACTGTCGCTTTCTCATCCACGTGAACACAGTAGATATTCTGAGGCATGTAAATAGCTCTGAAGAGCCTTGCAAAGGTGTCAAAATTGTGATGGATGACCATGATATACGCCAAAGGAAATTCAGCTTCTTCTTTAGATAACGGTGCCGTGATGTAGTGGCTTTGAGCCAGGTATTCCTTGCAAGAAGACGTCTCATAGATCATGAGTTTGTTTCTCCAGAGGAAAGGTGTTTTGCCACTGGTAAAGGATATGCAGACTTGACTCAGCATCAAAGTGTCCGAGTTATTTAGCCTCTGGAAGCCTTGCTCGCCCCCAAAATTGAACACATAGAACACGATAAAAATGATTACACAAGAGACAGAAACTATAAAGAGGTAACGCATCAATGAAGGCATGCCTCCAAGAGGAGATTTCAAAGACGGTCAAAATCTAAGGCCTCTCCCAAACTTACTTTTTTCTCTGAGTTCTTATTTTGGTGCATACTCCAGTAATTCGTGCCCTGAAGGAGACACTGTGAATTCATCCGGTTTCATCCCGGGAATCCAGCGGCTGGCGCACTCCCCATGCTGATAGAGCTACTGATCCCGCCTCGTTCTCTGCCTTTCAAACCGCCTTTGTCTACATCCCAGTAGCAGGTTGCTTAAGCCCAGCCTTTTTCCCTCCCTCTGCCTCGCAGCTCCCAACGGCTGGCTGTTGTTTCACTAAAACTGTGGTTTTAGTCTCCTTTTCCCCTGCAGATTTAGTTTCTCAGATCTCTTTTGCTTCATTTCAGAAGGTTTTTTTCCCCCCTCTTGTTACTGTCATTCAGGTAATTAATACAGTAAGAACGAAAGTTGAAATGATGCGTTCTGGCAGGCGTGCCATTTCCTGCTACTCATCCGACAGGCTGCGGCACTCCCCCGCCCCCGGCACTCCCCCCCACCCCCCACCCCCTTGTTGCTCAAGGCGATGAGCCACAGCCTGGTCCCTCGACTCTTCGAGCACACTCCACGGGGTATAATGTTGCCTCCGTTCTCAAATATGCCGCTTTAGTGAAAAAATGACTGAAGTGACAAGAATGAAAATTTTTAAAAAACCTCACCCACTGGGCTCTTTTGTAATGCTTTCTAGCTCCGCCCTACTCTTTTTCTTTTTCTTTTTTTGGCCCTACCGCGAGGCATGCGGGATCCTAGTTCCTGGACCGAGGATTGAACCCGAAGCCCCTGCAGTGGAAGCGCGGAGTCTTAAGCACTGGACCGCCAGGGAAGTGCCCGGCACTCTCTTTTCTAAAACAAGAGCTTAGCGGGGTTCCAGTCCTAGGGGATCTGAAAGTGCAAGGCTCTGGGTCCTGTGACTTTGAGGTTACGTCGTGACAGCCCCTCTCCTCCCACCGTGGTGCTTATCATAAGGGTTGAAACGGAGCAGGACCCTGTGGGGTCCTCCCTGGTACAAATTCTTTCCGTGCCCCGCCCCCCCCCACCCCGTTTCTAGTTTATAGGAAATAGGTTTCCTTCAGGCTCCTTGGACGTTCCCTGAGCTCCAAAGGGCAGATTCAAACAGTTGCTAATCAGGGAAGGGAGGGGATGCAGAAACAAGGGAGGAACAGCCTAGAAACAATACTGCAGCCTTGGGGCAGGGTCCTGGTTCTTCCTCAAGGGATACACACAACGATATCTTTGAGTTCTTCTGCGGGAACTAAGGCCTCCACCCAGGTGGAGGATGGTAACTTCAGGCTGAGGGCAAGATCCCTGGAGCACCGCCCTGCTACCTCGACACCAGCCAATCAGAACAAAGTCACAAGCCCTGTAGCCCTCACCCCAAATTTTGCCCATTAAATACTCCCCCCCAAAACCATCGGGGTTTTAGAAAAGGAGCCACCCATCCTCTTTGCATTGGCATCTTTACAATAAATGCTGCACTTTCCTTCACCACAACCCGGTGTCATTAGATTGGCCTTACTGCCCGCCGGTGAGCGGCCCTGAGTTTGATTTGGTAACAGGATGTTGGGGTCCAATGAACTACACCCCCTGATTTAGATGAGACCTTAAAACTTCACCGGAAAGCACTCGAATCCTGGCACAAATGATGTTCGGATAAGGGCACCTAGAGCGCATTCAGGTTTTCACTACCCAGAGAACATCATCTAATACTCAGAGAAGCGCTTTATACCTGCCAGGTTAAGCCTGTCAAATCACCTAGGAAACGAAAGCTGTTTGCCCCTATTTGTAAATAGCAGAGTTTTGGCTGAAGAGCATGAAGCTCTTTAACTTACAAGGTTCTCATCTTCAACCTTTTATTTTTCCAACCAGCTTTTTTCTAATACAGATCAACATATTTTATTTATGACGGCTTCTAACGTACCCATACAACCGCTTCACGCCTTCCCGTTTCACCTCCCCTTTGAGGTGAACGTAACCCCTCTGAGCCTCCATCCTGTAGCAGTAACTCCCTCTCGGAGACTGAACACTGAACACCCCCCCCCCCCCCCCCACCCCCCACCCCCCACCTGAAGAAAACACATCCTTTAATGCCCTTTCTCTCCTCCTTTCTGAAGTCTCTACCCTGCTATTAATGAAATTAATAGAACAATATGCTTATTTCTTGTTTTCAGCAGAGGTAGGAAAACCAACGCTAAGCCCCCTTGATTCAAGGCACCCTGCACTTCAGCTGAATGACACATCACCTCCTGAACCACGGTAGGTTTTCATTCTAGCTTTTATTGCTCCCATTTTTCATTATTCCAGCTTGTACATTATTTTTCTCTCTCCCTTACTAAATTCTCCTCATTCTCTAAGACCCATCACAAATAAACTCTACATAGAACCCACCTTTGGCTTTTTATGCAAAGTGGAAAAAAGTAAATGGAGCCCTTATCTGGACAGAGCAGATCAATCTAATTCTTAGTGTTCCCATGGAGCAGAGCAAAGAGAATGACTCTGAAAATATGATAATGAATGATAACGGTAAATGATACGAAAATGAATGATAATGGAAAATTCAATCCCAAGCTTCTTTTTTTCCCAAATAATACCTTTAAATATCAGGTTATAGCCTATCCTATTTCAAGACAACAGAGAGTAATTTCAGTATCTAGTTTGGCAAAGACTTTTTGGCTTAGAGTGAATATTTAAATATTTTAAATATTTGCAGTTTGACAAAGTGTTCAGATACATGACAATGAGGCCAACAGAGTCTGTTTACATTATTATTTCCAACTGGCCAACAACAAAGGGGTTCAGATTTATACAGGCTTAGGCACTGACATTAATAATGTTACTATATTGAGAAATACAGACATTAGCCAGATTAGGAACTTTCATCCTATTTGTTTGGCATTCAATCCGTTATTTAAAACAGCACTGTTTGAGTGTTGAAAATGTGGCTCTTTTTCCTATCTGCCCTTTTGGCTGTCCTTGGGTATTGAAAAATGCCTACAGGAGAACTTTTTTAAAAACCACTTGTAAGAGGGGAAGGCCATTACCTGTTCCCTTTCCTTCCTAATAGGCCATGTGACCTGCTTTTCCAGCACAGACACCAGGCATGTTTTTGCTGCTGAGACTGAACAGCTCAGCCTTCCCTACCTGCCCGTGACTGCAGGCCAGCACAAGACTGACGCACCTTTGGCTCACTTTGGAAGCAGTTATTCCCGAACTAGACAATTAATCAGGCTAGACATGTTTACCCTCTCCAGGCCGCCTTAAAAGCTTGCTCTTTCTTCCATTCAGAAGCCTTTATTGTTTTTTACATCATTTGATAATTTTTCCAGGAAACCTCCTACACTGATGGTGGGAATGTAAATTGGTGCAGCCACGGTGGAGAACAGTACACAAGTTTCTTAAAAAACTAAAAATAGAGTTACCATATGATCTGTAACCCCACTCTTGGGCAGATATCTGGAAAAGACAAAACCTCTAATTTGAAAAGGTACATGTACCCCAATGTTCATAGCAGCACTATTTACAATAGCCAAGACATACATGGAAGCAACCTAAATGTCCATTGACAGATGAATGGATAAAGAAGATGTGGCACACACACACACACACACACACACACACACACACACAGACTGGAATATTACTATGCCACAAAAAAGAATGAAATAATACCACTTGCAGCCATGTGGATGGACCTAGAGATTATCGTACTAAGTGAAGTAAGTCAGACAAAGACATATATCATATGATATCACTTATATGTGAAATCTAAAGAAAAAAGGATACAGATGAACTTATTTACAAAACAGTAATAGACTCACAGACAAAGAAAACAAACTTATGGTTACCAAAGGCGAAAGGAGGGGGGAGGGATAAATTAGGAGTTTGGGAATTAACATATACACACTAGTATATAGATAATCAACAAGGACCTACTGTACAGCACAGGGAACTATATTCAATATCTTGTAATAACCTATAATGGAAAAGAGTCTGAAAAAGAATAGATAAAATATATGTTTATGTATAACTGAATCACTTTGCTGTACACATGAAACAGTGTAAATCAACTATACTGCAACTTAAAAAAAAGAATTTTTCCAATTATGACGCTATCTAGAGCACAGCTCCAAAATGAAGAGGGTATTCTTTTTTTTGGTATGCAGGCCTCTCACTGTTGCGGCCTCTCCCGTTGCGGAGCACAGGCTCTGGACGCGCAGGCTCAGCGGCCATGGCTCACAGGCCCAGCCGCTCCACGGCATGTGGGATCTTCCCGGACCGGGGCACGAACCCATGTCCCCTGCATCGGCAGGCGGACTCTCAACCACTGCACCACCAGGGAAGCCCGAAGAGGGTATTCTTTTTGTGAAATACTGGAAGACTCAGAATCTCAGTGAAATAAAGAAATAATCAAAGGGGGAAAGGCAAGCCTCAGCACCCCTAGGCTTTCTGTGGCAAGGGGCAAGGTAGCACTCGCCTGATTCTGAAAGGCCTATAGAAGGATGAGTTGAGGGAGAGGCACGTGAAGTCCGCTGCCTGCCAGGCTAGGTCACACCCTTGAGGAAGGCGGCAGCTGGTCGTAAGGAAAATGTCATAAAAGACCTTGCATGTTGTGCTGAAAAACTTGGACTTCACCTTGTTGCCAAAGGAGCACCACCTAAGATGTTAGGTCGAGGAGCTCCCGGGCAACAAGTGCCAAGTGGAGGAGGAACGAGACCAAAATAAATCATGGTGGAAAGTACATATCAGCCGGTAAACGCATAAGGCACACATCAACGATAATAATGGTAGTAGTATTACTACTGACCAGATTGATTGACCAGACAGATTAAATGACATTTAAAAAACCACAACTTTTAATCAAATTTCTGGAGGAAACCATGCAAGACGTGCTTTGTCTTGTGTGTCATTAACGCCCACCATGATTACTAACAGGGCATGGTGCAAAAACGAGTAAGTAAAGCCTCTTAAACTAGGAG